CCGTCATGCTAACTAAAACCAACTCCTTTTACTTAAGCATGCCTTCTTTCTTCTCTTTAAGCCTCCTACTCCAAACCAAATCTCTGAGGTAATAACTCTTCAATACTATTGTCAAAGGAGTGCTTTATGTACTACTGTGTATTTGTAAGTTGACAAGTTTCACAATCCCTTCCTTTTTCCAAATAATTCAGTCCATCCAAGATCAAAGAAATAGCAAAAAATAAAAATAAAAAATAGTAACTCAGTCTACAAATAATTAGGTTGTCTGAGCAAGACCAGCATCTACACAGCAAGAGGCTAGAGACTGGTTCCATACATGCAGAGTGATCAATAGAGTAAACCTAGTTGTGATAATCATAGCCTGGTTTCTGCAGAAGAGAACTACAGATGCGGAAAGAGAAACAAAACTACAAGCCCTGTAGTGTTAGACTGGAATTTCAATTATTTATGGGTGTTGAAGTCATGGTATTCACGGTATTCTTGAGAGATAGAGAGACAGAGAGAGACACACAGAGAGAGACAGAGATGGAGAAATAAACATAAACACATATTCCCTAAATCTGGCCACAAGACTCATTGGAGAACTGACTAATTAAAGGGCTGGAGTAGGGCACTGCAAGATGAACATGGCATACCTTCATAAGCCAGAAAGTAAGGTAGAGCTCAAAGAATGAAGGGGTCTTGTTAAATGAACATAGACGCCACCCTGAAGCAGCTCCCATTGACCATACTTGGGAAAATTTGAGCAACAAAATAAATGACAGTAACCGATATAGCCCACTGAACAAAACAGGAATCTACTAGTTCATAAATAAATAGAAAGTTTGATGAGGAACAGTCTCAATGTAACTGCCCACAAAATAGCTAATGATAAAGGGAAAAAAGAGTCACTTCATAGTGATGAGGCCTGGCAGACACCATCTTAAGGGATCAAATTTAGTATCACTAGAAATGGGACCACATCAAATTACATGACGCCCAATAAGACAGAATGAAACAAAAGATCACTTCGGTTATTTTCCTGCCAAAGGTACCAAGATTAATCTACTTTATGAGAGAACATGAGACAAATGCAAATTGAGGGACAATATACAAAATAACTGTCTTGTATCTTCAAGAGCTTCAAAGCCATGAAAGCCAAGGCAAGACTGAGGAAACCACAGTATTCCAGGTTGAAGGCAACTAAAGAAACATGAAAACTAAATGCAAAGCATGACCAGGCGCAGTGGCTCGCGCCTGTAGTCCCAGCACTTTGGGAGGCTGAGGAGGCAGATCACAAGGTCAGGAGTTCAAGACCATCCTGGCCAATGTGGTGAAACCCTGTCTCTACTAAAAATACAACAATTAGCTGGGCATAGTGGCACGCGCCTGTAGTCCTAGCTACTCAGGAGGCTGAGACAGAAGAATCGCTTGAACCCAGGAGGTGGAGGTTGCAGTGAGCTGAAATCACGCCACGGCATTCCAGCCTGGGCAACAGCATTCTCAGTCTCAAAAAAAAAAATGCAAAGCATGATTCTGCTGGATCTTTTGGGTATAAAGAACATACTAGAAACAATTAGCATTATCTGAATACAGCCTAAGGAGATAAGATGGTGGTACTATCATAGCGTTAATTTCCTGGTTTTGATGGCTGTATTGAGTTATGAAGTGTGCTTGCTTACACGAAACATACACTGAAGAATTCAGGTGTGATGGGACATCTTAACTATAACTCTCTCTCACATGGTCCCAGAAAAATGGTTATTTATACCATCCTTGCAACTTTCTGTAAACGTGAGATTGTTTCAACTATGAAATTAAATATGTGTACATGAATACAGAATAACCCAGTCTAATCAAAAGTAAACAATTTAAAAAATAGAGCTCAGATTATATGTCTGTATAAGAAAAGTGAACTTTGGCTTCATCAATTTACTAATTTTGGTTATCTCCACGATGACTCCATAATTCTATAGTCATAGACGTTTCAGACTGATCTTTAGTGATCAATAAACTAAAATTTGGCACATTAATTTTACATATATGGACATGCCACATGCTGAATGTGAAATTATAGCATGTAATTCCTTGGTCGCTTTTTACGCTGCCCCTCACCCCACTTTGGTTTCATTTCATTCTGAGGTTGAATATGGCCACCCAACAAGGTGATTCTTTGTTTGCTTATGTCATGAGACTATCATGGAATCAACTGAGTGAGAACTTGAAAAGTTTAGCTTATCTGGAGTTCATTTTTAATATCTTTAGTCTACTAACTGTTCTTCCAGCTCAACTCATAGCGTGTTTCAGTGAAGCAAAAATAAAATGAAATAAAAGTAAGTCTGTAAGTTTAATTTTAATGCCTAGATTTCTGGTTACTGGAAGGAATAAACTAGAACTAAAGAGTAGGGATTAAATATCCTAATTCTGGCTTTACCAAAAATTTATTATCATGACAAGAAAGACACTATATGTGTATCAAACGAGAGAAAAAACATCAATATGGAATTCAGTAATTGCTGATATTAGCAAAGAGCTAATAATACAACTTAGTAATGACTGCATATTTCTTTCCACAATTACTTAAATATTAAGTACCTCAAACCTAACTTTGGCACACTTTTGCTTTCTTTTCCCTTATACTGCCTCAAAAAACAGGAAGTCATAGATTGCTATCCTTAATATCATCTATTTATTCACCTGATTGTACAGCTTTACTATTATTCCAGAAGTGAAAGCTGAATGATATTAAAATTAACAGGCAACCAAGATGTTATCAAACTAAATAGAAGTCCAGAATTAAATTCAGCAAATGTTTTGTGTGCCTACTACCTGCTGGACTCATTCTCTACCATTAGTGAATTTAGTCTAATAAAAGAGAATTAAGAACGTTAGAAAGAAAAATAAAAGAAACACCTCTCACAATAACATCACCAAGAGATCAGAAACTCTGAAACTATGAAAAATAGCTTCACAAGTTTTTCATGTATATGCATGTCCATATATCCTTTTTTTTTTTTTTTTTTTTAAGAGACAGGGCCTTGCTCTGTTACCCAGACTAGAGTGCAGTGGCATGACCATAGCTCACTGCAACCTTGAACTCCCGGGTTCATGAGATCCTCCCACCTCCCAAGTAGTCAGGACTACAGGCATGCACCACCATGCCTAATTTGTTTATTTTTGTAGAGACAGGGTCTTGCAATATTGCCCAGGCTGCTCTCAAACTCATGGCCTCAAGTGATCCTCCCTCCTCAGCCTCCCAAAGTGCTGGGATTACAGGCATGAGCCACTGCTCCTAGCCCAGATTTTTTTTTAAATAGAAAAATTCAATTACACTGCTTTATAATCCTTTATGACTACTTCTACCACTCCATTTCAATTAGTATATTAATACTTAAAAATCACAATTTTGTTTTGTTTTAGAAATAGGGTCTCACACTTTGTCACCCAGGTTGGGAGTGCAGTGTTGCAATCACAGCTCACTGCAGCCTCCAACTCCAAGTTCCTAGGCTCCAGGGATCCTTCAGCCTCAGTCACCCAGCCAGCTGGAACTACAGGCATGCACTGCTACACCTGGCTAATTTTTTTTTTTTTAATAAAAAATCACCTTTTTGTTTTTGTGTTTTTTTGAGACAGGGTCTCGCTCTGTCACCCAAGCTGGAGTGCAGTGGCGCAATCTTAGCTCACCGCAACCTCTGCCTTCCAGGTTCAAGCAATTCTCCCACCTTAGTCTCCCGAGTAGCTGGGACTACAGGGGCACGCCACTATACCGGCTAATTTTTGTATTTTTAGTAGAGAGAGGATTTTGCCATGTTAGCCAGGCTGGTCTCGAACTCCTGACCTCAAGTAATCCTTCTGCCTCAGTCTCCCAAAGAGCTGGGATTACAGATGTGAGCCAACACGCATGGCCAAAAATCGCCATTTTTTAATAAGCTGCATAGTATTAATTGCAAAGATATGCCAAAATCTGCCTAACCGATGCCCTGTTGCCAAATGCTCATGGTTACTTAATTTGGAGGCACGATGGGGAGGGTTGTCAGGAAAAAATGACAGCTAAAATTATTAACTGCTGTAAACTTAGCCCAGATGCTTTATAAAACCAGCTAGGAGTTTCTCTCTAAACACACACACACACAACTTCTAGAAAAAAAGGCTTAATGCCATGACATCCGTATCATCTCTGGTCTCTTCCTCTGCCTCCTACTGTCCAGGCCTTAATATTACTTTTATCCTAAAGTATTTGTAATAACTTTTCCTGACTTCAATCTCTGTCCATTCCAAATCCTACATAGCTCTACATCAAACTTCCTGAAGGAAAACATAACCTCCCTGCTTGAAGACTACCTAATCCCAATTATTTGAGAGTAAATACTGCTAACTTATTATTTAATACTTTGGGCATTCAGTTTGAATGATATAATCACTAAACCACCTCCCAATGTTTTTATCCGCCACTTTCTTTCAAACATTCTCCAGTAAAATCCTAATATAGTAACCAGTTATTTGAATAGCCTCCAACTTTCTACTCTATTATGTATGCTGTTCTCTCATCAGAAATGCACGTCGAAGTACCACTATTTATAGATACAGAATCACAGATCTGAAAGGGAACTTAGAGATATCCTAGTGTACGCACCTTGATTTGCAAATTAAAAACTACTATCATTTGCCCAAGAGCCCACAAAACTCCCATCTAGCATTCTTTCCATTACACAATGTTTCTCAAATTCTTGTGTGCCCAACAATCAAGTCAACAGTTCTTAAAAACAAAGATTCCAGAGCCCCATCCTCAAAAATTTTGTTCTTATAATTTAGATTACGAAATTAGGACCAGAACTCACATTTTTTCAAACAAGTCCTTCAGGTGATGCTAAAGCAAGGGGGTGGGGGAGGGAGCGGTGTCAAAGCTTTGTATCACAGGAAATAACACATCAAGAATATGAAGCCTAATAGCAATTAGTATATCATCTGCAATTTCCCGTTTCTTCCCCTTATGCTAAAACTTCCAAAAAACAGTTACTCACTGCTACTTGTGCTGAATCCATAAATCTCAGACCAAAATAGTCGCTTTCAATAAGGTCCAGGTGGTACATAATCTGATCAAACAGCTCTTGTCCTTTGGCTTTTTTCTGAAATGGCAAGAAAATAGGTAAATCAATAAGTGGCTTATAAGATCAACAAGGCTGAACAAAAGAAGGTTTTAGTTACACAAGATCTCTTGAAGAAAGGAGAACTTGCAATACCAAAAGTATTAGCATGTGGCAGATAATGGATAAGGCATTATAGTTTTCTAATAGATCACTTAAGGCCAAAAACAAATTTGTGATCTATATGTTTTCCTAGAGGGTGTTACTTCCAATCAACCGACAAAAATTATCTATTTTGAGGTACAAATATTTGTGTGTAAGGATAAATTCTTGTGTTGTCATCAATTTTTAGAGTCCCTACTTTAAAAGGGCCATAATGTCATTGGAAAAAGAAAACACAAAAAACTTAAGAGTACTTTAGTACAAAATATGTGAAACTACACACTTGCAAACAGATTTTAGAGAAGAGACAGAAACTAGAATAATCAATGAAGGCTTGATGGAGAAGAATCAGTCAAACTGGAAGAGAATGTAAGGTAAGAAATAAAAAAACTGGGAGGTAGGAGGGAATATGAGATCATAAGAAAACTACTGTGATGACGCAGAAGACACCAACTAGTAGGGTAATAAATAGCAAAGAAACTTTGTATGGAAAAAGCAGTTCTCAAAGTGTGGTCTCAAGATCACCGAGGGTTTCCAAGACCCTTTCAAAAGATTCATGAGGTCCTAGGTTTCTCATATACCTGAAACAAAACATCACACTGCAACACAGTGAACGTAGAAGCAGGTAAGAGAATCCAAATACCTTCTATTAAACCAGACGTTAAATAGATTTGCAAAAGTGCTTAAAACAAGGCCACTCTTCTAAGCTCTTTGTTGTTTTGGGAAATAGTTATTTTTATAATATGTTTTATATTATGTTAACATAAAAGGGGTATGTTGTTCCTATATTAATAGACATTAATCAATTACTGATTAATCAGCTAATCAATATTTAAAATGTTTTCAGTTTTAATTTCTAATACTGTAACTATTGGTAGATATAATCCACATAAGCAAAAGTATTGTTGGGATCCTCAATTTTCATAATTGCTCATCCATGCCTCTCCCATCTGTAGAACTCTAAATTGTGATTTACAGTATTTCCTATTAAAAATGAACATACAGTTGGTTTATCATATCAATCTCTGCCTTTTAACAAATTTATTATTTCAACTTGTCCTTTGCTTTTTCTTTTAGATAAGTAAATCTGTCATCTATACTTCCCTTTATCAAGACAAAAACTTGACGATGCCCTCATGTCCTCTCATCTCCCCTCCACCCAATTCCCATCAAGTTTTATGGACATACTTTTGTGTTTTTTTTTTTTTTATTCTTAGCTAACTTTTTAAAGACAACAACTTCTACTAGGATATTTCAAAAATGTACATGTCTTACATGTGTACAAGTCTTGTAGCATCTGCTAGATTTGCAAATACTCATTTGAGTTCTTTCTCCAAAAATGTTTCCAAAAATATTCCCATATTTGAGAATATTTTAATCATGCCCTCACTCGAATGACAGTTGGATGGGTAGAAACGTCAAGGTTCATAGTTTCTTTCAATACTTTCTCCAATACTTAAAAAAAATATTATTCCATTATCTTCTTGCAGTCAACACTGCTATTGGTAAGTATGATGTCAATCTCAATTTTGTTCCTTCATAATGTTACTTGTTCACTTTTAGACTCTTTAATGTCACTATACTGTGTACAAGTGTGAGTTTTTCTTAATTATACTGTACTCTATACGAACCTCTTCAACCTGAGATCTTCACCTTTCTTTAATTCTAGACATCAACCTCTATTGTCTTCTCAAATATTTCTTCTTTATCATTTTAAGCTTCCCACCTCAGTGCTGGCATCTTTTTTTTTTTTTTTTTAGCATACATTACTTATCCATGTAACTATATATTTATATAACACAGACAAAAGTTCAGAAAGCTTTAGTAATATAACAAAATTACATTTAAAACAATGACAAAGCTAGAATTTGAATTTTGCTCTATCTTCCAAGTTCAAATTCACTGAGGAATACATACCTCATCTAGATTTCACCTGGAATGTCACCTGAGATCAGTAAGTCAGATACCCCACTTCTTAAACAACTTCTTCTAGCTCATTCACAAAATTACTTTTCTTTTTTTGAGATGGAGTTTCCTTCTTGTTGCCCAGGCTGGAGTGCAATGGCGTGATCTCAGCTCACTGCAACCTCCGCTTCCCGGGTTCAAGCGATTCTCCTGCCTCAGCCTCCCGAGTAGCTAGGATTACAAGCATGTGCCACCATGCCCGGCTAATTTTGTATTTTTAGTAGAGACGGGATTTCTCCATGTTGGTCAGGCTGGTCTCGAACTCCTGACCTCAGGTCATCCGCCCAACTCGGCCTCCCAAAGTGCTGGGATTACAGGTATAAGCCACCGCGCCTGGCCACAAAATGACTTTCAATGCCTAAGTTCTCCAGCCACACGGGGAATTTCCAGTACACTGACCCAACTTCACAGACATCAGCCTCACTTCTACTTTTTTTAAAGTATAACACAATTTGCCATTTTAACTACTTTTAAGTATACAATTCAGTGCCATTAAAAATATTCACCATGTTGTACAGCTGTCACCACTATCCATTTCCAGAACTTGTCACTATCCCAATCAGAAACACTATACCCATTAAAAAAACCATTCCCCACTTGCCCTCACCATTACCCCTAGTAACCTCTCTCCCATTAATACTTTCCATCACTACAAATTTGCCTATCCCATGTATCTCACATGAGCAGAATCATAACAGTATTTGTCCTCTTGTTTATGGCTTATTTCACTCACCCTCTCTCCTACTTTCTGTCTCTATGAATCTACCTATTCCATGTATCTCGCATAAGTAGAATCATAACAATATTTGTCCTCTTGTTTCTGGCTTGTTTCACCCATAGTATTTTCAAGGTTCATCCATGTTGCAAAATATATCAAAATTTCATTCCTTTTTAAAGCTGAAAAATATTCCATTGCAAGTAAATACCATTTTGTTTACTTCTTCAAGTGTTGATGTACATTTGGGATTTTCCCATCTTTTCAGTTTGCAATAATGCTGCCATGAACACTGGTGTGTAAGTATCTGTTTGAGTCTCTGCTTTCAACTCTTCCTGGTATACACCTAGGAGTAAAACTGCTGGGTCATATGCTAATTCTATATCTAACTATTTATATATTTTTTACTTTTTCTGAGATACAGTCTCACTCTGTCACCTAGGCTGGAGTGCAAAGGTGTGATCAAGGCTCACTGCAATCTCCACCCCCAGGGTTCAAGCGATTCTCATGCCTCAGCCTTCCAAGTAGCTGGGACTAAGGTGCACAACCATGCCAGGCTAATTTTTGTATTTTTAGTAGAAATAGGGTTTTGCCATGTTGGCCCGGCTGGGCTCGAACTCTTGGCCTCAAGCATCCCAAAGTGCTGGGATTACAGGCGTGAGCCACTGCACCCAGCCATGTTTAACTTTTTGAGAAACTGTCAAACTGTTTCCTGCAGCGGCAACGCTATTTTACATTCCCTCTAAAACAGTATAACAATTCCAGTTTCTCCACATTCTTGCCAACATTTGTTACTTTCTCTTTTATTTTTTAAAAATAACCACTTGATGGGTATGAGTAAGTCTCTCCCATTGTGGCTCTGACTCAAATTTCCATACTGATTAGTGATGGAGAAAATATTTTAATGTGCTTATTAGTCATTTATATATTTTCTTTGGAGAAATGTGCAAGTTCTATGCCCATTTTCGAATTGGTTTTTGTTGTTGTTGTTGCCGAGTTGTAGGAGTTCTTTATATATTCTGGATATTAATCTCTTATCATATATCTCATTCGCAAACATTTTCTCACATTCTGTGGGTTGTCCTTTTACTCTCTTGGCAGTGTCCTTTAATACACAAAAGTTTTACATTTTGATGAAGTCCAACTTATTTGTTGTGCTGCCTGTGCTTTCGTTATCATATCCAACAAAATCACTGCCATATCTAATGTCATGAAGACTTTTTCCCTGTTTTCCTCTAAGAGTTTTCTAGTTTTAGCTCTCTCACTATGTCTTTGAACCAACTTTATATTAATTTTTTATATGGTATAAGAAAAAGGTCTGACTTCTTTCTTTTCTGTAGGGGTATCCAGTTTTCTCATCACCATTTGTTGAAAAGACTGTCTTTTCTCCACTGATTGGTTTTGGCACCCTTGTAAAAAATCATTTTACCATATTTACAAGGATTTGTTTCTAGTCTCTCTATGCTATTCCATTGGTCAATGTCTGTCTGTATTGCCAGTACTACACCGCTTTTTTTTTCTTTTGTAGAGACGGGGTCTTGCTATGTTGCCCAGCCTGATCTTGAACTCCTGGTCTCAAGCAATCCTCCTGCCTCGGCCTCCCAAAACACTGGAATTACAGGTGTGAGCCATCACACCCAGCCCCACACTGTTTTTGATTCTGTAGTTTCACAGTAACTTTCGAAATAAATCAGGAACTGTGAGTCCTGATTTCCCTAACTTTCTTCTTCATTTTCAAGATTGTTTTCGCTGTATTTGGGTTCCCTTCAGATTCCAGATGGATTTTAGAATGGGTTTTTCTATTTCTTCAAATAACATCGTTGGGATTTTGATAGGAACTGCATTTAATCTGTGGATCACTTTGGGTAGTACTGTCTTCTCAACAAGATTAAGTCTCCAAATTCTTGAATGGGAGGTATCTTCCTACTTATTCATGTATTCTTTCATTCCTCTCAGCAGTGTTTTATATATAGTGCAAGTCTTTGCCTCCTTGCTTAAATTTATTCCTAAGCATTTTATTCTCTTAGATGCTACCATAAATGAAATTGTTTTCTTAATTTTATTTTCAGATCATTGCTAATTTATTAGCACCAAAAGGTATCTTTTTTCCCACAAAATCTTTGGTTTTCTACATATAAGATGATGTCATCTTAAACAGAGATAATTTTATTTCTTCCCTTCCCATTTGGATGCATTTCCT